TTGAAAATAATATCTAAGGAATGCAAATTGGCTTCAATGTTGGGGGTATAAATAGGTAAACTTTGAGATTTCTTTTTGAAAGTAGGATTCCAGTTTTTTAACTGAACTAAACCAGTAATCAATGAAAATCTAATAAAATTAGGATTAGAATTAGTTTTCCTCCTAATCTAAAAAAGGAAAAAAAAAATACTCTAATAATCTACTCACACGTGGCTTCCAACTTGATAATTCATTAACTAAATTTAATTAAATAACATTTATCAAATTAGTAATACAATTTATTCTACAATTGAACCGAGACTGCCATAAAAATTAAATCATAAACCAACTTAATTAATTATTAACTAAAGATAATTTCTTTAAACTTCAATAATTAGGGCTTAACTTATCCGAAATTAACTCTTCTCAAGTCCACGACGCGTTTTTAAATACAAACTACAAGACAAGCCAAGTATTGATATACTTATCTTCGCCATCAATATTTAATTATTTGCCCCAAATAAAATTGAATTTAATACTATTTCACTTTAATCCTTCAATTTCCCACAATTATAAAAGGGAATCTAGATCAAAATCATTAGCACCAAATAATTTCATTTTATAAAATTTTGGAGCATTACAATCTCTCATTCTTCAAATGAATTCGTCCTAGAAATTACATTAACTAGTTGAAGGTTTCTATATTCTTGACCTTGATATCTTCTCTCTCCTAAGTAGACTATTTTATTCCACAATTCTACCATTGGACCTTAACTAATACAATTTCTTTATTTCTCAATTTGTGTATCTTCCTTGAAAAAATAGTTGTTGGAGCCTTCTCATAAGATAAACCACTTTGAACACCCAGTCCTTTAATCGCTTTAGTTTTGTTATTGGTATTCAAAGGTTTGTCCAATGAGATAGTAACTTTTAGAACACTATCGGATTCTCACATGTAATATGTGACTTATTAATAAAGGCAGCAAAAGTGAATGGATGAGTGGCTCCATAGTCTAAAAGAACGTAAGCAGGAATTCCACATGCAAAAAAATGTCTGTCATCACGTTCAAATCCTCCGTTGCCTTATCCTGAGTTAAGGAAAAAACTCTGGCTTTCGCTGTCTTGCCTTGCTCATCATCTCTCTTCGAGGGGGCTCCTTTAGCAACATGGCATGCTTCATCGCATCGGTAACACATATTACTGCCATACACACTCACCCCTATGCATCTTATTGCACTTGGGACAGAGTGTAACAACTTGTTCTGAACTCCATACTATGTTGAATTTCTTGTTCTGTCCATTTCTTTTCTCTTTGTTGGACCCATTCCATTTTCACCTTCTTCAAAACTCTTGCTGAAAAGTTTGGTCAATCTCTAATATATTTGAGATTGTTTGAGCAGTTTGCAAAACCTAATTGTATGTGGTTAATTGGTGGGAGGCCATTATTCTACCAATCTTTGGATGCAATCCTAGTTCGAACCCCCTTGCTTTTTGCCTTGGTATCTACGAGGTGCAGTGCGTGCCTAGAGAGCTATTCGAACTTTCTCTCATATTCCTCAAGCTTCACTTTTCCTTGTTAAGTTTTAGAAACTCTACCTCCTTTTGATCTTTTAGGGCTTGTAGAAAGTATTTTTCTATCACTTCTTTGAATTGTGTCCAAGTCAAAGCATGTTGCATGCCTTAGTTCTAGTGCTTGAGCCAGATTCCAACCAATAGCCCACTACATCAACCAATGTGAACACTTTACATAATACTTTCAGGGCATCATTGGATGAGAGATGTTGAAGATTATCCATTCTTCAGTTGCCAGTGAGTCTACTTTGCCATCGGAGATTGGGGGCTCATAACGGCGGAATTGTTCAACAATTGAGTTGTGTTGTTAGCATCGATCGATGCAATTTGAAGGTCAGTCTGTGCTTATTGTCTATCAAGATCCTATACAACTCTTAACAGATCACTGATGATTGTAACTTGATTTCGAAATTTTCTTTATACAAAACAAAATTTTGCTTAGAAATATTAAACACAACAATCTCTATTCTACATTGATTGAATGAAACTCAATGAATTGCAAACCTCTACTACATTGGTTGAATGAAACTAACTAAATATTCCTTCCAATTTTTCTTAGTCCATTCTCAATTCCTTGTTTTAAATTTTGCATTTAACTTGTCATGGCCATATTTGACACAAAGTACTCATACTCTCAAATAGCTACAGTCATAGGTCCTAAGGTACTTCTGTAAATCATATTCTTTCTAGCCATTCTATTCGTTCAACTATATTTGTCTAGTCTTAACCATGTGTGAAATGTATAAATTCAATTATGCTTAATTTTTCAATGACAATTTATTTCATTCAATGCTCGAATAAACAATATTCATATAAAATGTAAAATAGTTCAACTAATAAACTATGAGAGGTAAACATGCTTATACATTTCATAACATGAAGCAAGATGACTCGTAATTATGATAAAAGAATAACATTCAATTCATACCTAGAATCAATTGGAGAGTGGTCAAACAGTGAACGTCCCCAAGGATTTTTCATGTTATTACCTGGTTAAAACGTTACAAAAATATTGTCCTTAAACTCATAATTCTTATGAAAATCAATCATGCTACATGAATATAATAGTTGACATAATTCTTAACATAATGTCACATGAAAATCACCTATTTCCAACTGGGATTATGTCATCGCATCTGTTACAACTTTTCTGTCAAAGTGGAAAAATCCTATGACAATACTTTGATTTTTTTTCTTTTTTTAATATAAAAATTTCCTAAAAAGGAATTTTCTTGAAATAGAATTTTTTAAAAATAAAATTTTCTAAAATTTGGAATGGTTTGAAATGTTATTTTTCATTTTTATGATTTGAATAGTGTGCAACTAAAAGGCTTTCAGGTGAGAAGGAATGTTATAAGTGAACCACTTAATTTCAAACGCTCTTTAAATAGTTTAGGTCGTTTTGACTAAACCATTCAATTTTACAAATACGTAAATCAAGAAAGCTCAAATAATAAATGGGAACTCTTAAAATACAAATTTTTTAATTGGTAAATTCCTATTAAAACTCATTTATTTGAAACAAATAACTATTTTGTTAAAAAGAATACAGAAAGATAAACATGTGCTTTAATACCAAATTATAACACCCCAATATTCATAAACCTTAGAATGATACTAAAATTCAATTTTCTTCACGATATTGTGGAAACGATAAAAATAAAATTTATCTCTTTATTTTCAATAATAAATATCAATTTTAAAGCATGTAACTTGTATTTCCTAAAAAAAATAGAAATAACTATCTAACTATTGAACAAACTTATTTTTGAACAATTTAAAACTAAATAATCAATTGAAAGATCAAAAATTTAATGTTTTTAGTTCTTCAAATCCTCTTGGTAGCCCACATCACTATTCTGCCACAGTTTCAATCGATCTCAACAAACTTGTAAATTATTTTTTAAGAATGAGTATTTGATAATACCTAATAAGATACATGCAGTTTTCATATACAATTATATAATAATAAAATAAACATCTCATACCACAATTTATTTGGAGTATATCGGTGATCAAATGAGACACTCATCACGTACTCATTTCGAATTCTTGAGATATTTCATATTTCGTTTTAAAGAACCCAAAAAAGTTCAAATTTTGTCAAGTCGAACCCAAAGGTCAATCAACAATTCATGCATGTATCGACGAACCTCTTGTGCTTTATGTATCTTACCTCGTATCAAACAAAGTTTCGAAAAGAAAAATATGATTGTACGTTTCAAAACTTTCTTAAACTCTCTGCTTCTGTGACTAAATGGGTGCATGTATGCTTTGAAAGTAATATCTTATGAATGCAGATTGGCTTCAATGTGGTGGTATAAATCGGTGAGATTTGAGATTTCTTTTTGAAAGTAGGATTCTACTTGTTTAATTAAACTAAACCAGTAATCAATGAAAATCTAATAAAATTACGATTAAAATTAGTTTTCCTTCTAATCCAAAAATAAAAAGATTAACTGCACTACACACAAGTGGCTACCAACTTGATAAGTCTTTTAAATAATTTAATTAAACATAGTTTCAAAAAGTAGAATTTGGATTGTACTCCACTGACGATTTTCTCGTAAAACGTTACGCGTACATATGCTGTAAAAAGGATTAAGTTGGGATTACAGACACGACCCGTCCCGAATCACTCTAATAGACTTGACACGTGTCGTGTGCCGATGTTAGATACCAACTAAGTGCTGGACGCACCAGTAAGGCAAACTTGACCTACTTTGACTATGACATATATGTATAAAAATTTTGACAAAATTTCCTTTAAAATATGAATTAAATCACTAAAACAAAGATTAACTTTATCAAAACTGTACATACAATTTAAAATATAAGACACTAGCCCTTTAAAATACAAATTATTTAAGACATTTATCATGCTTTATGAACAAAAGACCCCAAAAGCAATGAGAATACTAAATATGCAGTGAGCCCATGGTATGGATCTATAAATTACCAATTAACAATTCTGTCAAAACATACATGTATCCTAAAAAAATTTGAACTATATAAATTGACGAAATGAATCATACATCTAATGACAATGTGCGTGTCTGGCACTCTCGGTGGATCGACAGGCTCCAAAGCTACTTAACATAGATGCTATCTGCTAAGATAATGATAACAAAATATGAGTTTGTAATTTAGTGAGTGAATAAATTGAAAATAAGTATACTTTTTCATATGTGTATAATTCTTGCTCTACTAAAACTTTGAGAAATTCAAAAATTTAGTAACACTTTTAAAACTAACATAATTGGATCATAAAATTATTTATTCTTCATTCTAGTTCAATAACTGTAAAATATAGCGAATATAAATAATCTGACATCTATGAAAATCTGTGAAATATTGTTGCTCAATACTATAAACTGGAAGCTTTACTCTAAAAATTGAACGAATTGAATTCTATAATCTGAATTCCATAAGCTGAACTGCAAACAGGGAAATGTAAGTTGAAGGCTAATAAACCACTATATACATAAAATTCACATCAAAATATACCCCATGTAAACATCTACTGATGATCTGAAAGCTACAAAGTCATATGCACATAAACTGTCTGATCAACAATCTGTACACGGTCGTAGCCCCTCAGTGTACAAGATGGAAACAACATAATCATCCTTATACACGGCTGTAGCCCCTCAGTGTATAATAGGTACCCCTACACGCGGCCGTAGCTCCTGAGTAGATAAGAGTTACCCTTACACACGGTTGTAGCCCCTCAATGTATAGGAGTTAGATACATTACTCTAGTACACGGTCGTAGCCCCTCAGTATACAAGATGGAAACAACATAATCATCCTTATACACGGTTGTAGCCCCTCAGTGGATAAGAGTTACACTTACACACGTCTGTACCCTCTCAGTGTATAAAAGTTAAATACATGACTCTAGTACACGGTCGTAGCCCCTCAGTGCACTAGAGCAAGATAATCACATCAATTATTTTTTGATAATTTCAAAACAATCATGCTCATTTACTAATTTCTCGAAAATAAGACATTTCACGCAATTAATATACTTCTATAAAATTAAAAAAAAAAAAGAAATCTTTTTTTTTTATTGGAAAAGTAGGTTCTCCACTCACAGATCTATGGATTGCAATCTGGTTAAATTTACCAGAAATCTTTTTTTTTTTTATTGGAAAAGTAAGTTCTCCACTCACAGATCTATGGATTGTAATCTGGTTAAATTTACCAGTCTTGCCCAACTTTCACGTCACCACCTGAAATACGATGTAAAATAACTAATTTAATACTAAGTATTTCTTAATATTAATAGTCGAATAGTAAAACTTGACTTCTCGATACTTTGAATGATTTTTCCAAATTTTCCTTTAATCAATAAGAGCTAATTCTACTTTCTAATATCTTCACAAATATATACTACATCCAAATTTACCTTTGTCCCACTCATAAAAATAATTATATAATTATACCTTCCAATCTAAAGAAAACTAGTAACAATGATTCCACCTATTTTTATTTTTATCTTGTTTCTCAAATTCATGGTTTCATGAGAGTTTTCCATCAATATAATTATTCCCACTAACATTTCATAATTAACGATCCCAAATAAAAATCTAGGGTTTGCCAAAATTGGTATTTTTACCCTAATGAAATTGAAAATTAAATAATCAGCAAACTTGAACTCCAATTTGTACTCATCTTGCATAAATATGAAATTTTAGCCACAAATTAAACCCTAGCAACTTAACATAAAATTTATCTACCTCTTGAAGAAAATAAAGAGAAGGAAAAATGAAGATAAACCTTGAACTACCTCTTTCCCTTCTTCTTCTTCTCCTTTCTTTCTTTTCTTCTTCTTTTTCTCCCTTTCTTTCCCTTTTTCTTCCTCTTTCTTCTCGGTTTCTCTCTCTGCCCTCTCCCGTTTTTGCCTATTATTTGTGTGTGTGTTGAATTATAATTGAAATGGGTTTATTGTAATATAGAGCCCGTTTGAGCCACATTATTTGTAGAATGAGAATGAAAAATAGAGCCGTTATGAACCCTATACAAGAGATAGAAATTAAAAAATGGTGGCTTGATGTGATGGATAAATGTCATATTTTTCATTTTAATAAGGTAAAAATAGGGCTCAAATAGGGCCATAATAAGTAGCCACTAACTCAAAATTGCAAAGGAGGTCCTCCAACATTTCTATAATAAAACACTAAATTCTAAACTTCTAGCAATATATAAGTAGATATCTAAAATTTTATATTGTCCAACTTAAACCTTCAAAATATTTTTCATAATAAATTGAGTCCCAATTAAAATAATTTATTTCATTTTAGTCCCTTTTGACTTTGTCTTCGACAATTCAACATTTTATTTTTGACTAGAAAAATTTGGGTCGTAACAATTACAATTAACCCTTTTAACATTTATCAAAATCAAAATAGGATTACAATTAACAATTATCAAAATAGGATTATAATTTGTCCTACACGTGACGCTGCCATAGAAATTAAATCATAAACCAACTTCATTAATTGCCAATTAAAGACAATTTCTCGGAACTTCAATAACTTAGGCCTAACTTATCTGAATTAACTTTTCTCGAGTCCATGACACGCCATTAAATACGAACTACAAAATGAGTCCACCAAAGGCATCTAGATCAAAATCGTTATCCCCAAATAATTCTATTATATGAAATTTTGGGATGTTACATGGTGTATGTAATTTCTTTATAGCGACATTTTGGTCATCCAATTTAGCCCTAAAACACTGCCACATCCTCCCACCCAACAAAGTGGCTAAAGCTGAAGCCCTCAGTCGATTCAATGATGTTTTCGTACACCATCTTCCCATCGAAGCTCCATATAGTAAACAATTTTGTTGGATTTCTAGATCGTCTTCGACAATCTTGACCGTGAAACTAAGAAAATGCCAATGACCACGATTAAAAGTAATATGCCTCCCAAGACTCGAAATATAGTTAATACCAATCTCTTCTACTTTTTCAAACCTATAACATTGCTACATTGGGCCTTCTTATTACTTGAACAATCTAATGAAGCATTCTGTCATGGCCTTTACACAGTGCGACTTTATGATACTAATTTTGTTTTTCAACTGAAGTTAGTGCATATAAATTTGAAGCAGGACATCTTTAATAGAGATTTGAACGATTTTCAAAGGCAACTGTATAATTATTAACTCAATCAAAGGATAAGACATAACTCATTCAATCCCCGTTTGTCCACCATTCTTCAAAAACTCCTTTTTCCTAAAACTCATTTTCGACCAAATATTCTCACAATAAAATAGTTTACACGTAATCCAACAAATTTTGTTACTTTTTAAACTCAAAATTTCTATTAAAAAGAATACTGTTTCAAAACTCATTTTTCCCAAAAGGGGGAAAAAATTAAAAAACTCTTTTCAATGGCATCAAACAAATGCTCAATTTAAAAAGTTGGAGACAGACTTGCTGACGAATATTTCAATTTCTCCCTAAAGAACAAAAAAGAATGGATATTCATTGGATAAAAGTTTTAAACATGTAGCATTGGTTTTGCATGGTCATACCACAGCTTTGGAATCATTTTCATGTTTTTTATGGAGTGGCAATGGAGTGGTGATTATCAGCGATGTAATTGACAACAAGGTCTTCTGATTCATTGTTAAGTAAAATTATGATGTAATTTGATGCATTAATAATTGAACAGTAAATCATGACATTCACTGCCACCTACACTGATAAAAATCATAGACGATGATAGATAATGTTAGAAACACACTTCTACTAGAAGCCGATTTCAAATGTTAGATATATACTCGTATCTAAAGGTTTCATTTTCCTGATGAGGTATATTCGCTAAAATGAGTAACGTCTATGTGCTTCGCAGGTAAATGAACAAGAAGTAAAGACTATCAACTACTTGAGAGTTTCTCGACCATTTGATGACCAAGATACAAATTTTAAATAAACGTAGCACTACGAAAAGGAAATTATGATTAGATAAAAGGAAAACTAACCGAGTAACTGCATTATGCGCTGAAGAAAAGAATAATAGTCTAGCAAATTGCATCAACATAAAAATTATATTTACATTCTACAGCAAGAAATATGCACTTACAATTTTGCAATACATCCGCATCATCGCTATGTATGTTCTTCACTTACATATTACAAAACTTTGCCAGATATACATGCTTATTCTGCAATGGCAAACAGCAAGGAGATCTTTATTTCTGCCATTTCTACCATCATTAAATCGAGTTTCTAGGTGTTTATTTATACAGGGAAATGAATATTGGAATCTCTGCACCCACCTTTAACCTGAAAAAAATATGCTCTAATCCGACTTATAGTGCCTGAAATAACAAATAGTGAAAAGGGAAGCTAAAAGCTTAAGCCATTAGTCTATTAGAGAGGAGAGACATTTATTTATTTAAATTGAATCTTCAACACGTCATCCTCAAGTGCACACTGTATTCATTTTTATTGAAGGCCTCGTAAATTTACTATTTTACAGCCAGTTTTGCTTGGCCGGAAATACCCCACTTATTAATTTAACCGACAAACTACCAGGATATAGTCCTTGGGAATAGCATATCAACGGGTACGTGAAAATCTGACATAATAGATCCAGTCCAGGAGACAAATTAATAAGTACTTGCTACGTAAAAATAAGAATTCACGGGCATCACCATGATCATCGGATATCAAGAGAAAGAAATAGGAAGAAGTGTTCTCCAATAATCCCCCAATATTTGAACTCATGATCCACGTGTGCTTTGATACTGTGTTGAACCATGCCGTTTAGAAGCTAAAGTTGTTAGAGAGGAGACGTTTATTGATTTATATTTAATCTTCAATAGCATCTTTATTCACTGGGAAACAACTTAGTGTAAGCAGTATATAGAAATTACCAGGTGAAATTAGAAGGGCATCAACATACGACTCCTAGACTTTCTGAACTTGTTCCTGGACTTGCAAGGCTTCTAAAATGCTATTAACCCACCTGCAACAGAAGGATAAACCCAGTGATACTTAAAACATGTTTGATATGCACTAATGAACAGGATTGAACAATGAACACTACAATTAAAAATATTTAAACTTCTTTTTCTCCTTTAATACTATTGTGCAATCCACTTTTCTAAACATGCCATTACTATACAAAATTATGCACTGAGACATGGCATATACAAATAAAATATATCTCCCTGCATCGTAAATTTATGTCACATCCTCGTATTTCTTCTAAATTATCACTTAAATAGTGAACTCTCCAACTATATCACGCACATCTCAGAAAGTAAAGAGAACGGAAAACTGCTAGTGCTTTTTACCACTCATAGAGCATAGAGACAGAGACAATTGCATCAGAAACAAGTATATGCATGATTTCCCAAAAGTTCCAAATGGATATTTGATTACCCTTCAAGGCCAGGATTGGTTGGGAAATACACATTCCTCAAACCCAGATTTTTAGCTGCTAAGGCAGTTGTCTCACCAATACATGCAACAGAATTGCTCCACTGTTGTGATTTTGGGATTAGATTTATCCAAGCACTGTAAAGGAAGATATGCAATCATTCGTTAAAATAATAAGGGATAAAAAGACGAGAAGGTAAACAAAATTCATAGAAATCTGCAGAAAGGAAAATGCTTCGAGAAAAGCATTCTGTGAGAAAGGAAGAGAGGAAGAGAGGAAGGGGGCTGGTTCTGCCAGGCGCCCAGTTTCTGCCTCCCCGGCAGAAACATGGCGCCTAGGCGCCCCGAATATGAAGACAGGCAGGAACCTGGCGCCACTCCCCGATAGGATATATATATTGCCATTTTCCCCCCCTTTCATTAAGACAACCCTTGCACCCGAAAATTAGAGAGAAAGAAGAGAGAAAACTTGGAGAGAATTTTACAAGATAGAAGGTTATTCATTTTGGGTATAAATTCAAAGTTATTTTCTTTCTTGGGGATTAACTTGAGGCTTGTTCAAGTAATCCAAATACATTGATCTTCATATATTCCATTGAAATCATTTCTTCCTCATTTTCTTGTCCTTGAAGTGGTTTGGAAATTTTCACATTGTTAACTTTGTTTGATCTTTGGGCCATCTTTGGAAGGTGTTTTCCCAACAATTTGGTATCAGAGCTACATCCTAAATCAAGGTGGTTAAGCTTCGATTTTGTGGTGAGTTGCTTGAACTTTGTTGTGCACAAGGTGTTTGTGAAAATTCCCAAGTGAACTTTTGTGGTTTATTTTCGGTAAACAAGTGGATAAATCATGTCTACTAGAGGAATGGTGAAGATTGGGAAGTATGAGATAGAGAAATTCAATGGGAAGAATGATTTTTCATATTGGAGAATGCAAATGAAAAATTTGTTGATTTCTCAAAAGTTGCACAAGGCATTGGCGGGAAAGGAGAAGAAGCACGTTGATATGTCGGACGAGGATTGGGAAGAGCTAGATCTTGAGGCACGAGCGTCTATCATTCTTTGCCTTGAAAGAGATGTTGCTTTCTTGGTTGATAGTAAGGTAACGGCGGCGGAGGTGTGGACAAAGTTGGAGGCGAACTTCATGACAAAGACTCTAACAAATCGGATCTATTTGAAGTCTAAATTGTATTCTTGCAAGATGGACGAAGGTACACCAATCCGGGAGTACATCAACAAGTTTGATAGGATCATATCGGACTTGAAAGACATTGATGTGGATGTAGATGATGAGGATCAAGCACTTCTACTACTTCTTTCATTGCCAAAGTCTTACGAGAACCTAGTACAAACATTGATGCTTGTGGGTGATAAACTTGTGATGGAGGACACTAGAACGTCACTTCTAGCGGATGATCTTCGAAAGATTG